CATTAAATATTTTCAAAACATTAACTACTTCATACATATTAAAAAATAGCTGGGTGTAGGGCCGGGGATTTAGCTCAGTGGTTCTGCCGCCCACCTCACAAGCACAAGGACCTGAGTTCAATCCCTGGTACCAAAAAAAAAGCAAAAAAATAGCTGGGTGTGGTGGCACACACTTGTAGTTGAGAGAATCACTTGCACTCAGTAGTTCTGGGCTGCAGTGTGCTATGCTGATCAGATTTCTGCAACAACTTTGGCATCAATATGGTGACCTCCTGGGAGCTGGGGGAACACCAGGCTGCCTAAGGAAGGGCGAAGAGGGCAGGGCCAGAAACAGAGGCAGGCTGTGGAAACACTGAGCTAAATCCCCAGCCCAAGGGCCAGAAACAGAGCAACTCAAAAAAAAAAGCAACATCCAAGACAGACTATCATTTCTAATTAAAGCAATGCCTTATTTATAAAGATCAAAGAAGAATAAATGCAATGTTCCTCTAGGCACATTTTCCTGGATCAAAGGTTTCCTAATTTGCTCCCGTGAAGACACCTGTGTCTTCCTGAAAGCATCACACACTCTGTAGAACACCAAAAAATAATGCTAAAAATTTTACCATATGACTTGAAACAGTTTAGGGGAAAAGAAGACTATATTATATATGCACGTAATATAACAATCACAACTAGAAGCACTCATTTTGATATTTTTTATTACCTGCTGCACTAAGGCAATAAATATTTTCATCAAGTCCTAGTTATTGACTTAATTGTTTTCTCAGCAGCTAGTGCTCAATAGTGCTTAAGGAGTAGCAGTTGCCACAGAAAATAAATTATGGAAACAAAAATTTAAATGGAGATAATGCTGCCCATTAATTTTAGTGTACACTTTCAGGGCAGAGAAAAGAATTTCAGAATGGGAAAATCAACATTATTCTAGGGCTCACATTTGATTAATCAATATACCAAGCAGTCCAGGTGCTTTTCTTTTAATTCAAACAACATATAGATAAAGAAAATGAGATTTCAGGACAGTGAGGAGTGTGCCTAAGATGACCCAACTGCAAATGATTAGGACCAATTAGCTCTAAAATCCATCTTCTTTCCCCAATAGAACCCCACCACCTCCCCCAAGTAAATATGGATGAACCTTTCAGCAATGGTTTTCAACCCAGGCTGCATATTACAATCCCTTCAAGAAGAAGCCCTACTATTTATACAGTATTTCTTAAAGATTCTCAAGTGATTTAGATAGACAATGACAGAAAATCAATTCTTTTTTTTTTTTGGTACCAGGGATAGAACTTGGGTCCTTGGGCTTGCAAGGCAGGCAGCAGAAGCACTGAACTAAATCCTGGACCCCAGAAAAATCAATTCTTTAAAGTCAACATTAACACATTATTAGACAGTATAATAAAAGTTTTAATAAAATACACAGACCTATTTACCACTATAGAAATTGTAGAAATTCAGCAGTACCAAGTCTATTTCTAATACATTTCTTCTTCCTTGCCTCACTGTCAAGATGCCAGGTATTACTGATTATTGTCATCTGTTTGCCTTCATCTACTGACATCTCCTCATCGACCTTCCACCATTCTAATTCACTGTTATCTGCTATGTTGTGAGGCAAGAGAACCATGCTAATTCAAACCATATGTAAAAGAGAAGTGAGAGCCTTTTATCAGTAAAGTACATGAACTTTTAGGACAGGAAGTTAGTGATATCAACTGTGGTTATTACTCATGGGTCTCTTCTGATTACTTTCTGATTCAGAACTTTGTTCCTAATTCTTGTTTGTGCAGTTCCTGATTCCTTGTACTTGACTCTATACAGCTGTACATAAGCTGCTATACAACTAGGAAATAATTATTCCTTCAAGTCTGCCTCCCTTCCTAGAGTATGAACTCGGAGTTCAGGAGCCACGTTTTATTCATCCTTGTACCCAGTGCCTAATACAGTGTCATACACAGGCCCAGCTCTCAACAAATGTTTGCTTCCTAGAGGATGCCAAAAGTTTAATAACCTTTATTAAGCAATGAATTCTAGGTTACATGGCTGCTCAACCAGAACTTTATAGGGAATTAGGACTTCAATAATATCATCACAGTGCAACAATCTGTGTGTTCCTAAGCTCTATGGCAACTTGTTTCAGTTAATTCAACCTAACAAGTATACACTGGATCTGGTACTTGAGGTACACTTCAAGGATATAGCTCAGTAGTAGTGTTTGCCTGCCTTACACACGTGAGACCTTAGGTTCAAGCCTCAGTATCACCACCCTCCCCGCAAAAAAGAACTATCAGACAACTCTGTCACACATATTGTCCAAATGCTTTTACTTCTCTCCATCCACATTGGTGCCACCTAAATTCAAGTCATCATCATCTCTACTAAAGTATTCTAATTAGTCTTCTTGCTTTCTTTTTTTATTCCCCTCCAATGCATTTTCCACAATGCCAACAAAGAAAACTTTCCTTAAAAATCAATCAGATCATATTATTCTTCAAAACCTTTTCTCTGCCCTTAGGATGATATCTAACCCTCTAAAATGGCTTAACAGACTCAAACTGATCTACCACTCCAGTTTACTATTCACTAATAGCTCTCTATCCATATTAACTAACCATAACTAGACCCGTGAGAAACTGTGCTCAGGTATGTCAAAAAATTCCAATAAAGCTAAGCATGGTGCTACACATCTGTAACCCCAGAACCTATGAGGCTGAGGCAGAAGGATGACAAGTTTGAGCCCTGGGCAATTTAGCAACTTAATGAGACCCTATTTCAAAATAAAAAATTTAAAGGGCTGGGGATGTAGCTCAGCACAAAAGCCTGAACTATATAGTGACACCCTGTCTCAAAAAAACAAACAAACAAAATTTTTAAAACATATGAACAAGACTGGGCATGGTAGTATATACCTGTAATCCCAACATTCAGGAGGCTGAGCCAGGAGGATTTCCATGATTTTGAGGCCAGACTGGGCTACATAGTGAGTTCAAGGCCAGCCTGAACTATCTAGTGAGACCTGTTTCTCCCCCAAAATAAAAATTATATATGACAGGACTGCTACCAAAGGAAATGGTTGAAAACATAAGCCTCTTGAAAAAAAGTATCAAATTCTCTATTTCCTGGTGCCTATTAGAACCTGCACATACAGGTTGCTCAGTAGATCTTTATTTAATTAATCAATGGCAAAAAATGAAAGACAATGATAAATTCTTAGGACAGAACAACCCAGAAATAAACTTAATTTATTATGCATGTGCCCCACTTCTGACCAAAAAAGATTCACGAAGAGTTGCTAGAGGATTTGGGAAAGGTTCTTCACCCTTAGAACGACATGGGAAACCTCCTCCTCTCTCTTACAGGTCATGACTGAGGATGTATGCTGCCCTGGTTGCCACTGCCTGCTATTTTGCAACGATTAAATAAGCTGACACTGTGGACAACATACATAAGGGCAAGATTCCCATCCTCCTAGCCAATGTTTTTTGTGGGGTTTTTTTGGTATTGGGGATCCAACTCAGGACCTTGGGCTTTCGAGGCAGGTGGCGGTACCACTGAGCTAAATCCCCGGACCCTCCTAGCCAATGTTGAACTTGTGTTCCCTGTATCACTAGATGTCTAGTTATGTGAGCCAGTAAACTATTTTTTTATTAGTCCGTTTAGGCTCTTACTTGCACCCCAAAGTCTGCTAACTAATACATATTTGAGAAGCAATGAAGAGAAAATATTTTTAAAATTAAAAAATGTGAAAATCATATTGAAGATGATAAGAACAACATGACATCATTTAATTTTGTAGCCTCGGCAGAAGCCAATCTCAAAAGGTAGCAAAATCAATCACTGCAATAAAAGAATATAAAGAAAAGGGGGCCGGGGATTTAGCTCAGTGGTTCCGCCGCCTGCCTTGCAAGCATAAGGACCTGAGTTCGATCCCTGGTACCAAAAAAAAAAAGAATATAAAGAAAAGATTTTCTGTGCAATTAGTATGATATTGAATGTATATCAAATAACTCAGATGTATTTATCTATAGCAAAAGTTATTCAACTTTCCCGGAACAGAATAAGGAGTAGGTTAGACACTACAGAAGAAAATACTAATGAACTTGAAAGCACAGCAATAAAATATCCAGGAAAGAAACGAATAATATATCACATACTGGAGTCCCATATTGGGGGGGGACAGAAAAATGTATGAAGAAGTGATGGTCAAAAAACTTCCAAATTTAAAAATCTTAAATTCATACATACATCCAAGAATCCAAAGGCTCATCTTATTCCTCTTTGTACCCCCAGTGTTTAGCACAGCATCAAGCACAACAAGCTCTCAGCAAATGTTTGCTTCTAAAAAAGAATCATGAATCATGTAGAAAACGACAACAAGGCTCAAACTTGGAATCCTTCTGCCTCAGCCTCCCAGAGTGCCATGATTATAGGCATTTGTCATCATAGCCAGCTGCTGTTAGGTTCTCATATTATCCATGAAGAGGTAGACTGCAATAAATTAAAGATGAATACTACAAACCCTAAAACAGCCACTTAAAAATATACTATAACTAATAAGCAAATGACAAAATGGAATTATAAAAAATGTACTCAAAAGCCAGGTGTGGCAGTGCATGCCTTTAATCCCAGCACTTGGAAGGCTAAGCCAGGAGGATCATGGTGAGTTCAAGGCCAGCCTGGGCTATACAGTGAATTCAAAGACCATCCTGAACTATAGTGAGACCCTGTCTCAAAAAAACAAAACAAGGGCCAGGGATTTACCTCAGTGGTGTCTGCCCTACAGGTTGCAACAGCCTGAGTTCAATCCCCAGTATCAAAAAAAAACAAAGCACTAAAATTGGGATTAAGATCTTCCTTATGTAATAAATAGCATTCAACTTTACTAACAAAAGTATAATATCCCCCAAAAAGGTCAAAGGTAATAGTGCGTTAAACAGCTTATCAAAATTTAAAACTTCAGTGCCAAAACTGATCAACATGATCTAAAGCTGACTCACCTTTCGTATAGCCTATCGCTTGGTAATGAAGCACCCCAATGTCGAAAGTCCATGATTAACATAAGTAAAAGGAGACAGGATATGAAGAATACTCCCAGGAATGCCACCCGTTGACGGAGAAATGGGCTTACTGTCGGAACAGTGAAGTACCAGGAGGCTGGGCAGAGGTAAGAAAAACTGATCCTGAAATGAAAAAAAAAATTAGTTAAGTCTGAGGTTGAGTGCTTAAAAAATCATTTTTAAATGGGACTGAAACTCTAATAAAGGCACAAATCCATTGCCAACAGAAGTCTAAATGTTCTTTCACTCTCAAATTTTAGGAAAACCTACCAGTTCTTTTTTCAAACACTGTACTTTCGAGTGCAATGCAAAGAATTTTATGCCAATGAAAAGATCACTCATCTCCTGGGGCACCTTCATAAGGCCTGAGGATTGGAGCAACTACAACATTCTTACTAGGCATGCTGTCAAGAAACTGGGTAGTCAGAAAAGTTATTCAACCGATTTTTTAATGTTCTAATATGTCCCATATGTGCATGATAAAAACAAAAAACAACTTAAAAAGAATATAATGAAAAGTAAATCTTTGGCCCTGAGCCCACCATCTCTTACAGGCAATCACTGCTACCAGTTTCTATGTATTTTTCCAGGGATATTCTGTGAATATACAGGCATAAATACATAGCAATATATATGGTAATGTATCTCTGTGTATCTCCATTCCCTTGGTTTTACACAAATATACCATATCTATTGTTTTGCGTCTTTTCCCCTACTTATTCTATTTTCCACCTATCTCACATTGGGACACATAGATCCACACTAATGCTTTTTAAAAGCTTCAGAGTATCATAATGTATGGATAAGTATATTCAACTCTGAAGTTTGCTTTCTATATTGATTTAAGAGGACCTCTCGGCCTATCTACTTTCAAAGAAAAAAAAGACACCTCTTTGTATAACCTCCTCAAAGGGTACCTAGCTTCACTCTGACGGAAATCTGAAAAAACATTACAACCAACAATTTTCAGACTTGAGCAAGCCCATTCTCTCCAGGGCCCCGGGGTTACGGGCTGGAAACTATTACTGTACCTGCCTTCAGAAGAACAACTTTGACCATCTTTGCATACACTTGACCAGGATGCAAAGTCCAGGCGCAGCCCCAGGGCTAACCTCACATGTAACAGCCTCCCAAGGCCCCCAAGGCTGTCTGCCATCCTCCAGTGAGCCTCCTGCAAAGAAGGTGTGCAGTCTTACCTAGCCATGGGTTCCCTTCAGTAGTCTCAACGTTTGTCACCTCCTTTTCCTTTTGCCTGAAGAAGGTGGCCTCCCTGTCCCAGGCATCTCCTAAATCTGCCACCTGGAAAGAGTTGGCTGTGTTTCAGGATTCCTTCCAAAAGTAACCTCCGAGACCTGACCTCCAAGAGTCTGCCATGTCTGCCATATCTCCCACCCACGCGCCGCAGTCCTCTGTGTCCATCCGCTCTGGTCTTCAGGCCCAGCGGACCCTTCCCAGCACCCTGCGAGCGGCGCTTTCCCGTAGGCCAGCTACATCCTCGGGGGAACCCGCGGTCCCCAGGTGGTGGGGTCCCCACTTCCACTCCCAGTCCCTCCCAGCCCCGGGCTCTCCCGCGCGCCCACTCACGGGATTGAGCGGCTGCCGGTCCCTCAGTCCCGCTCGGCTGGGTCCAAAGCTGTTCACAAGGCCTCCAGCTCAGCCGGAAGAAGGGCCGGGCCCGCGGCGGCGCCACGTCCCCAAGGAAACGGCAGGGACCCAATGACTGACAGGGGGCCCGCGAGAGGGCCCGCCCCTCACACCACCGGAGCTCTGAGGTAACCAATCCCCTAGACCATTGGCCTCTAATGCCCGCCCTGGGATTTCCAATCGGGTCCAATCGGAAGGGCATGTGCCGAGGCTCCGCCTAGAGAGCCGGGAGATTTGGTACACAGATGAGAGGTTCCCAGACTCTGGACTTGGTTCTGTCCCGGTAGTGCAAGTTCTCAGCGGGCAGCTTTCTCCAAGACCACTCCCAGAAAGGAGAGACTCCGGTCTGTGGGTCTCGAGGTGTTCGCGACAGAAACGTAGCCTTTTGCCTGCAACCTTTTGGAGATTTCGTGACCACCAGTGTTTCCCACCAGAATGGTAGTTTTCTCCCTTTTTAAACCTTCCCTATCGCCTCCCAAACTGATGTCCGGGTTCTATTATCTTGTCCCGTTTGAGAAGCATAAACTAGAGAAAATGATATCTACAGCAAAGCGCCTAACACCATTCATTCTGCGTTTATTGATTGTCTACTGTGTGTCAAACATTGTGAGCTTTTGTGTCAATGCTCTGCTGAACCTTGCAGCAATCCATACAAAAGCAGCAGCCCCTTTGTTTTGATTCTCCTTGCTTACACTAGCCCTAGATCTTAAGTCCAGGAAGGAGCCTTTGCACATCATAAAACCTGTTTTTCCTAAGTAGTTACATTGATCATTGTCCACGACCCGCCGCTACTGCATTTTCTGCAGCACCTCTTTTCCTAGCAATGCAGCCTTGATGTTTCTGGCCTAATGTTTTGCTCATTCTGCCCTGCCACCTGCCTTGAATAACATTCCTTGCCTCTTGATCAACTCTTGCTTATCCCTCACCATTTGGCCTAAGGGTCATCTTTCTCTGAAAGTCTTACCCGACCTACACCTCCTACTGTTTCACTTACCACTTTGAATATGCTGAGGACTTCCACCTATTCCCATTGGCCACTGTCTGGCACATAAAACTTGACTACTGTATGATAAATAAATGAATGTGGGGGAAAGCAAAGACCCCCCCATATGAGAACAGAGAGGCTATTTTATTGAAAGCTGGCTATAACTGGGGACAATCACTGTTACTTGCATTTAGCACAGAGTTAAAGGCTGTCGGAAGAGTGAGAAAGTCTAATATGTAATGAAAAAGGGAAGAGGGCTCACTTACACTTAGACTTACGTGTATTAACATGGGGAAGGTGGAGTCTGGTTAAGTAGAAGCAGGGTCACTGGGCATGGTGGCACATGCCTATAATCCCACCACTCCGGAG